TTAACCTGAAGTTGGTCTCCAGACCTGATCTGACACTCAGCTGTATAAATTATTGAAGCTATAAGCCATGCTGTGGTGAAGTGTCATTGCACACAGACAGAAAACGTTTTGGTTTTGTTTTAGTTTTTAATAAGCAATGTTTCTCCTCCTTTTTCAAGGCCTGTGAAAGGTTCTTTCAAGGTTCTAGTGAAGAATACTAATAATGTCTTGAATTAGAATGGTTACAAATGCTCTACTTCAGCAGAAGACTGTCAGTAAACAGCATTTAAAGCAGATAGCGTATTTAAGGCCATACTAAAACATTAAGACTGTATGAATGGGCATAAAATCAGGCAGCGTCTACTGATTATAGACTTGATGCCACTAAAGTCTTGTTCTGGAAATGCTTACATTGTGTTCATCAGTTTGTTTTTTTTTCAGGAAAGAGTAGATGAAAGAAAAGTCTGTAAATAAACCTATCACATATTTCTTCATTTTCCCAGTATTTTTGTCAACTACGTACCATCATCACTGACCAAGTTTTCAATAATATAACTCGCATATGCTAGGCTCTCCCTTTTTAAATTTTCAATAACGTAACTCGCATATGCTAGGCTCTCCCTTTTTAAACTTTAAGAGAAGACTTGGCAGTATATTTCTTTCCACGTAAAGAGTCTGCAGCAAAACATGTAACACTACATTTTCATCAGAATTCTTTCATTTGTACAGGGATTTCTTTGCAAGAACAAAACATGTATCTTCGGTGGAGTACAGAATAAGAGAAGTAATCACTCACAGATTGTATTTTGTGAGACGTTTTTTAAAAAGGGGTTGAAAAAATAATTTAAAACTTCAGTTTCAAGCACATAAGAAAGTCTTAAGCCTACAGTTTAATCAAAAAAAAATGCTCTACCTATATGTGCGCAACTGTGCTCACGAGAACTCCAGTGCTGCCAGTGTAAATAGCATTTATTTCTTGACTTTAAACATGCTGTCCATCGTGTTGCCCTAAATACGTACTCAACTGTTTTCTGAACCAAGTTACTTCCTTCAGTGATTATGCACCATGGAAGCATTATTACCAGTGCACAAAATTCAAAGGCGTTCAAGTCCACGCTTAAACACTCAAAAGCCAGAAAACTGACTGTATTAATTCAGCCTTTGCTGGAGTACATTGCCACTCTACTCTTATTTCAACTAGAAGACTCAAAAAGAGGATTAATTTAATAGCACTGTGCATGATAAAAGTGTGATAAAAACATGATAAAGTATAGTTTTAACTTCAGCACTCATAAAATACACCCGATACATAAGATGATGACTTAATACACAACATAAATTGGGCCCTTGGAGTAAGGACAAACGTTGGTTACACCACACAAAACCAGGTCTTACTGCACTAACTTTGTACAAATTGACCATAACGGTAGTACTGGGGCGACAGAGATGAGTAAAATGGCTTAGAGCGACTCATAGCGAGTAATTTGAATGGAGTATTAAACCAGGAAATGACTTAAACATTTGTGTCATGCAAACAAAGCAAAGATGACGGGATGTATTATCTCTCTTCCATAGATGGAAATGCAGCATTACTTGCCCAGTGGTGCACAACACCAAAACGCAGAACCTACTGGCTATCTTCATTGGTAGCACCTTGACCAATATACCACAACATAACGATGAAAACAATGGGATCATGTTGGTTTTGTTGTTACAGCCAGTCATGGTTTGGACTGTAGCAATAGAGATGGAGCCAAAATACAGTTGTAACTCAAGAAATTACTGAGATTTATTGTTGTCAGCTGAGCTACTGAAGATTTTTTAAAATTTTTTTTTAAGGAACAATGCAGAGCCAACTTTTAATCTTCTATACCATTTTATCATCAGCTGCAGAATGAACGTTATTCTGGAAAGGAGAAAAAGTCTGAAACAGGAACATTCCCCTTCTCACCTCCAAACACAAGCAGCAAATGAAGACACAAACACACAATCACTTGTAAAACACCTGCAATGGTTCACAATCTTCTCACCCACGCCACTTCCACGGGCCGTCTGTTTCCCCACTTCTGCTGAAGGCTGCCATCCACAGAGTTGTCAGAAGCAAATTGTGTGACTACACCCTCGTCCCTTCCAATCGCTTTCACCAGCGATTTCAGCCAAACCATCTCAGTGCAAAATCAGCAACAATATAGTATTTGCCTCCAATTCACTGCGCTGGTAAGTTGTGGGGAACCAGCCTCTAAATAGTGGCAGTAAAACCCAGTTTCCTACAGTAATAGTATTACAGTATTCTACATTACAGTAAATGCAGACAGACTGTTTCTCCTCCCCTAAAAATCCGACTCTAAGCCAAATTAAATACACACTGAACAGCACATTCTTTAAAACAGAGAACTTAGTATTTTCCAATTAAAGCAATTTTTTAAAAAGTTAAAAGAAGGATTCAAATATGTTAATTTTTTAAAAAGAAAAATATTTCTGAATATGCAGACTTATTACTGAGGATTGCAATTATACTAAAGAGTATTTTAACACAGTGATACAGTGCAAATGAGTAGGTCTATGTTAAGCAAGATTCTAGACAGCTGAACGTTAGGCATTCATTATTAAATATATAAAAGTAAAGGTACAAAACTCTATTATACTTCATTTCTAAACAGAATCCATGCACTGTAGACAGGAATTAATATGAATGTTCTCAAAACACTGTGGAACATATTTCATTAATTTAGTTCTAAAAATCATTTTGTTAAAGCCAAGCCATTGAGAAAAAGAAATAATAGTGCAGGGTTCTGTAAAAAATAGCAATATAGATTATGGCATTTTTTCATATACATTATATTTAATTAGTTTTTAAACAAAGCCATTGAGAAAAAGAAATAATAGTGCAGGGTTCTGTAAAAAATAGCAATATAGATTATGGCATTTTTTCATATACATTATATTTAATTAGTGTTCAAGCAGAAAGAGAAAAGGTGCGACTGAAATATGGCCAAGTATATTAAAGTCATAATGGTTGCTCATTAGAAGGAAAAAGTAATCTGGTTACCACACTGCTACATCATTTTTGCTCTCTCTCTGTACTCTTAAGAATGATAGATCTTGCTGTACAATTAAAAATTCAGTAAAAATAAAATAAAATATGTCTACTAGCCAAAAATAGGTTTTGTACCGCAATAAAATAGAATTGCTAGACAAATCTTTGATCTAATAGCTTGCTAATGACAAGCCTACAAAAACCTAGGGCTTTTAATACCGTTTTTAAGTCTCATGAAATTCCTTGTTCCTTCCCAGTTACACTGGCATAACACTGAAGAATTTGGCACGAAAAAACCCAAAGCAAAACTTCAACTACAGCATTAACTAATGATGTTACCACTGACTGGCCACACCAGAAAAAAGGGGTAGGAAAAAACAAACAAAACCCATCTTTCCATCGTTTTGGTTTAATCCTCACCTCCCCGCACCATCACAAAATTTTATTTTACAAAACACATTTTCCTCCTTCAAAGCTCAACTATTCTGTTACTGTTATCAGACATATAGAAAGCATTATCAAGTTCTTATGTCTGTATTTTGTACATTATTAACCTGCAGTAATGGTCTCTTAAAAAGAAGCAAACGGGTCTTCATAGCAGCTCCACATTCACTGATCCCATCAAGTTCTGCAAGAGGAACCACAACTGAACGCCAAGACCCAGGTTCAGCCTCAGAGCAGGGATAGAGCGTACAGGTTTCACAAGCGTTAAGACAAATAACGGCCTCAACATTCAGCCTTGCTCTGGAGAAACTACAGCTACAAGCGACGAACATTTTTTCTTTTATGTCTCTTGTAAATTAAACTAATCCCATGATGAAGGTCGCCTACTCCAAAGCATGTGATTGATAACAGTTGTTCATTTTGGAGCCTGTGCTTTTTTCCCATTTGTAGCTACTGGACAAATCCAGCCTAGCACAGATTAGATACTAAACTGTAAAAGAAGTGTTTTATTTACACTTACCCTGCCGAAGGACTAACCAGCTGTTCATCAGATGGTTTACAGTCATGCTCTTCCACAGCAGAGAAACCATTACCAGCTTCACTGTTTACATTTGATTTCAAAGTCCTCAGAACTTTGGTATAAACACTGACTGTGGCATGGTGTAACCAATTAAGTGCTTTAGCATCCCCTAGTTTTAACAGAGGGCAGCTAAACAGTTCTAAATCTTCTCAGGCTGTAACGTGAGTGAAATTCAGATTTTTTCAGGTCAATAATCTATAGATCACCGATGCCACTGGCCTCTGTTACCTTGCGGACAGAACGTGTTTAAAGTGAAGCTGTTTGTCACGGCTTCTGCTATGTATCCCATTAAACTTCAAGCTAACGATTTAAATAAACATTAGAGAAATATATAAGAACTAAATGAAGCCGGCTTTTAATTTCATGCACCATTATTTGTTAAATGTTTAAGCGCAAGCTGTCTGAAACCAGAGATCTTTATATGATAAGTAATTTAAAACATCTGTTCAGAATTCTTAAAGAAGCTGCAAGGAAAAGCACCTGCACTTTCAAACTTTACAGGTCAGATTTTAAGAAATTAAATAATTGAGGATATTGCTGTCCAATAAAATCCCAATGCTTTTGATAAGGAGAAGCACAGTCAGGACCTAGACAAACCTTAGTGTAACATCAGTGCATGGTGTTAGTTTTTCAGCTGGTTTGATTGTACAGATAATGAAGAGACCTATTCAATTCTGTCTACCATCAAATACAAACTTGTGAAACTGTAAACTTGCAGTGGATGAAATATATTAAACTTCAGGATCACTTCGTGCTCTTTTCAAATCTTTTCCTCTCTGTCATGAAGACAACGCAATAATGCTTCCATAGCATCCTTCCTCCGTTACAAAACCACAAAGGATACTACAAAGCTTAGTGTGACACAGCACCTCAGTGTAAAGCAACAATAACTCTGTGTGACAGTCACTGGCAGTCTTGTAACTGGTTTTAAGTATAAGGCTTTTTTCCACCAACCAGCATAACTCATAATTGTGAAATTTATATTCTGTGGTTCCTAACGGTCCAAACTCTTTCTCCCAAGACAGGTATTTGACACGATATTTCTAAAAGAGAAAGTGTCAGCATTATCCTTCTGCTATTACCTTTCCGCAGGCATTGCTCATTTGTGAGCTGAGGCACAACTTAAAAATACAAGAATAGACAAACATATTTCCGCTAAGGAAAGAACAAATATCAGATTCCACTTATGTCTTTCAGCTCATTATTTTCTAATACTTTATAAGAAGCTTTAACGTACAATTCGTAACATCGCCATTGTGAAAAGCCCAGATTTCCCGCCAGTGAGATGACACAAACATTTACTCTAAGTCTACATTCCACAAACTTGGCTGCATTTGAAAGGAATGATGAGTAACAAAACCCTCTGTTCTTCTGTTTGGAAGGTATTTGTGTTTACAGAACACCATTCTTCGACTGCGTACCAAGCCTTTAGCGCTCTTCAACTAAACATATCAAACCCATTTGATTTACAAAAAAATCTAAATTTAATTTCTCTCACCTCCAACTCAACCATCAATTTTGCATTATCCATAGTAAGTTGGCTCTGAGAAAAGATGAGAGAAGCACATCTGCCATTAGTTTGCTCATCACCTGCTGTTTAAACAGCACTCACTGTTTAAACCAGGCATTCCCTAGCTGGAAGGATTCCCAGGGCTCTGTGAGACTCAAGAGAGTTCTGTAAACAGGAAGCACCAATCCGATGGCAACTGCCAAAGTCAGCTGTTCATCCCTCCAACACAAGTAACGCACATTTTGACTTCTGACAAAACATTCTAGCTCTGCTTTGTTAAAGGTTTTTTTTTTTTTTTTGGCCTCGGTCCATTATAATTCTGGCGAAAGTTTGACATGACCACAAAATAAGGCTTTTAGAAAGAGTAGCAAGGAAGGAATCCATGCCATGAGCAAGTAGGCTAATAGCTCGTTTTATCCTATTGTTCGACACCACTAAGAAATCCTGCATCATACCATACATCCTGAGATATCAACTAGCACATCAACATCTATGAAAATTCAGAGGAAAAAACTGTTTCTATAAGCCTAATGTTTTCAGCGTAATGCATTTTTTCAACTGTTGCACTGTATCAGCAAGACATTGCATTCCATCTTCAGAATTGCCAGGGTCCCCCAAAATAACACTAACGGCTACAAATTTAGTACTATGTCACGTGTAAACAGCAAGATGTATCTGGATTTTAAGGTTTTCCTCAATCAGTCTTCATTCATAGGAGAGCTGAGAGCAAACTAGATTTTATGCTTTCTAATCAAAATGAGGAATTCAAGCACTTCACCTACACACCAAAAAAACAAGGTGGCTAAATTATTTTTTTTTTCCCCACCCATGTCAGCACTGCTCCATTAAGTAATTAAATACAAAACATTACATTTGTGCTACTTGGATCGTAATTTTTTGGGGGAACGTCCCAGGATTACTTTGTTCTAGAAATGACTGAATATAGTAGTAGACTATCAAGTGCAGCCTTCCAACGCAAAGGTGACTTACTCTCAGTCAAATGTAACGTTGTCAGAAGCAGAGTTTAATATGGATTCAACATTATAAACAGAAATAAAGAAATTGCAATGCAATGCTTGCCAAGACCAAGGGCAACGGCTCCTGGATCCCAAAAAGGTATGCGTATGTCCCTCTTTTGGTTCTAATTAAAATATCATAAAAATGAACTTTGCCAGCCCAGTGTACAAGAAGTGTTATGCTGTCCACAAGAAATTCTGAAGGTCAAAATTGTCTGTCGATTCTAAAGCTTCAAAAATTTTAAGGGCTATAAAGACAGTGCAAGCCAACATATATGCCAGAAGCCTCAATGGAATCTATGCTATCTTCAAAAGTTCAAGCTTATATAGATATAAACTTCCACATTCATATTTTGGTTATGACTTGAAGAAAGAAAACAAGATCTATATTCACAAGAAATTAAACATGTATAAGTAGTCACGTGCAATCCTCTCAAATCAAGGAAAAAAATTGGTTTTACCTTACAATAGTCTTGAATGAAGTCTACTTCACATTTTCCACAAATTAATTTCATCATGTAAATAGCAAATCAGAACCTGTCTGCTCAAAGCATTTAATTAGAGCACACAGTGGTTTGGAGGTCTATTCTATTTAAAAGGGTTAACGTGATGAATAATTTTTATTATTGCTCCTAAACCACCAATTCTAAAATATGCAATTGTACACCACAGCCAGTGATTCAGGCAGGAAATTCTTTCTTCAAACCTCTCCGGGTATTCTATGACTCATACACCAACTGAGATGTTTCCAAGGGTTTTCCTTTAGATTTCCTAAAATATTCTTCTGTAGTTTGATTTAGCATTTTTCAGATGTAACACCATACTAAATTTGAAACCACCCGCAACATAAGGCTTCAGCAGAAATCACAAAAATAAGTATCATAATTTTATTTAATACGGTTAATTGCATTTTAAATAATGTTATGCAATACTTAGGCAATTAGCACCATATACTTACCAATAAACTTGTTTTGCATAGTCTCTAGGAGAGCTTGGTGGGCATCTTCTGTTTGCAAAGCACATGAACATTCTCTGGCCAGTATGGTTCGGACAAGGTGCTCTCCACAACCTAAAGAAATATTAAGATTGGGAACAGTCAAAATACAGATATCACTATCAAGAGACTCTGTCATTATTTTACACCATCACAGCCAAATTTAAAAAAAAAAAAAAAAAAAGCATACGACAGAGGTCTGCCATATTTTCTTTTATTTTTTTTTAAAAGAGTGGCACTGAGTCACATGAAAATTCAATGCTGTCAAGAGTTTTTCTCACAACTTTCCTGAAATTTGTACTGCACAAAATCATAAAGGAAAAAGGGTTAAGTACAGAAAGAAGAAAAAGAAATAGTCAGAAGAAACAGGAAAACTATCTCTGACTTGTCATCTTTATCCAGATCCTGCAATTCTCTCTCAAAGAATCCACTTACTAATCATTCTCACAGGAATGATCCTTGGATGCAATTGTCTTGAAACCAGGAACATCTTTAGTGAATGCCACAGTAACTCCTTTGCATGATGTAATCTTCTATTTAGTCCATCTGATTTAGCATTTTGTCAACAAAGGAATATGTGAATTTACCTATGCTTTTTTGACAGGTTGGTCATAGGACTCCTAATAAAAATTCCTGTAATTTTTAAAGGTTTAAGAAACTAAAAAGCTCCAGCAAACAACCACTTATTACTTCAGTGCTTTCTGTAACTACCCCGTGAAATCTGTTGATGATGAAGACAAACAGGTCATTAGTTCCTACTGTGTAGGAACGCTTTCATGCCTGCTGTTTTTCTCCCATGCTCTTTTCCATTCCTGTAATGTGCTTTGGGACATACAGCTGTGGTCAAATGGTACAGTGCACGTTTATCGGATCAACGTTTTCTTGGACAGGGAACCACACTGGTGGTACCTTCTGCCTATATACTAAAGTCATCGTACTACTATGCCTCCCATTTGTTGACATTTTTCCTCAATGGCAAGGAAGCAGATGAAGCAGCTAGAAGAGGTCTACGTAAGTGCCAGTTAAGCTGAAATGTGTTATCCAGTTAGGAAAAAAGGGAAAAACACAACTAACTAATTTACAGCTGTAATATGACAATGATTTCATATTATCTACATTTAGGTGATTACAGTTTGATCGGACTTGTAACTGCAGAGTATATCAGGGCCCCAAATTGTATTAGACACCAGTATAGATATAGAGAGAAGCCAAATATAGTCATTTCCTAATTATCAATATATATTTCTAGCAAATGTCTCATTAACCATGACAAGATCCAAGCACTGTTCTGGCTCCATAAAAAAATCTGTTATAATCCAGTTGGACTTAGTAGCTCAGGTGCAGAACTACATAAATACACCTACACAGCTTCCAGAGACAATTTATGGGTGGAAACAATCTAGCTGCTTTCACACGGCAGAGAGCCAGAGCTGGTAAGACATCAGACCTAAGATGGCTTCAGACAAAGGCAGCTCAGTCTCCATGGATAACACTCACTTTACTGGAAACACTACCAAGCCCAGAACAAAGAAAACCGAGCAAGTCTGGCTCAAGTCAGCCTAGATCTGGCACAAAGAAAGAACTAATAAACAAACTCAACCCAAACTGGCTCCAGCGCAGCCTGTTGAGCGTCTCATCACTGTGCTTCCCAATATGCTGAGTTTGGAACGCTGACCAGTTTGGGCACAGCATTGCATGAACTCACATCGGCAGGTCTAGCGCTGTGTCTAGGAGCTGCTCACAGACTGGCTGCTTGCTCTTGCCATCGCTTTTAAGCCCTAATTAACATGGCAACCTACTCCAAGAATCTTTCTTTCTGGTTACTTGTCACACAATTACATCCTTCCCTTTAAAGGCAAAGTGAGTTTAAAAATACTGTTCTTCAAAGCCTGCTAACAAAGCAGAAAAAGGAAAAAAAGAACCAAACCAAAAAACCAAACAACAAACCTCCTCACCCCTCTATTCCAAGATTAAAAAAACCCACAATAAAAAACCCCTATGGAACATTACATATGCATTACATGTCAATAAGTCCAGGGACCAGGTTGCAGAAAAATTGTGTACACACGTCCTAATATCTTGGTATTTTCAATCATCAAAATTACACCTTAGTCTTCAGTTACTTACTCCTTCTAATGGGCAGTGTCTCCTGATTAATACAATTTGGTTACACTGAATTGTTTGAAGCAGGGTACTTTGGCATTGAATCTACATATAATTGGCACAACAGCAAGACAAGAAATTCTTTGTATAGCAAATAGAGTGAGTAAAAAACAGTTATAAATTTAGAGGAAAATAAGAGCGCTGAAATACTACAACGATCACACAGCAAAGGGAGGCAGTTCTTGAGAGGACAAGAAAAAAGTGGTTTCACCGAGCCTGTCAAGCTCTTGAGTTACTGACCTAAGTGTCCTGGTTAGGATATTATCTTCAAGAGGCTCACACAATATGGTGTTCTCAACAGCTGCTTACAGAAGGACCTGTCCGTTCATTGCCTCATTATATCTATGCTCGAAAGCTTTTGTCCACAATAGAATTGAGAGTTATCAAATATTTAGCCAAGATAATGTACAAAGAATATGCAAAAACTCAAGATGCATTTGACCTATAGATCACAACATGGCTGTCACTTTTAGTAAAACTAAGAAAATTTAATCATTGTGAAGTTTTTCTGTAAAGAATAAAATGAAATAAGCATACACCCCAGCTAAAACTTAGCAAGTTGACTTTTTTCTTGAAAAGAACCTGTTAACACCTTTAAATATAACATCTATGCTCTACGTGAGGTAAGAAGCATGGGACTTAGAACGTGAATCAAGCAAATGAGACACAAAAATCAGAGTGAGCTTATGCATCTCCTATGCATCTATTAACAAAACCAGATGTTACTACTTCACAATTTTTAAGTAATTCCTAAATTGGCATCAAAAAGACAATAGCCATTTCTTAGCTTGATGTAAAATGTTATTTTCCCCCCAAGAGAATGACTTTATTGAAGAGTTCCCATAACATCAAGTCTGTGACAAAAAAAAAAAAAAAAATTAAGAGAGAGAAAACTTAATATGGGTTAAGAACAGCTGCAACCCACTGCTGTGATCCAGGATCAACCACAAGGAAAGCAGCCTTGCAATTCTACTAACACATCACACATCTCTACATCCCCACAGACAATGTCATTTCTTTTTGTCATATTTATGTCAACCTATAAAGCAGCAAACTTACAGACGGCTGCTGGCAGTGTACGTAAAAATCTTTCAACATGTCACATGCCAGCAATCTGCAGGGACAGATAACTATGAAAATAATCCCCTCGATTTGAAAAGAAAAATTTGTTATTGCAGTTTTTGATGTAGGAACATCTAATTTTCAATGAGAAAAACAACTCAGCACTATTTCACATATTTTGACCAGCTAAAGGCTGGGAAAAAGAATTGCCCTAATTATTCCAATAGAATTGCCCTTCCTATTGCTTCGTTAGAACCAAATACTAGAGCGTGAACTGCCTTGCGTGTTTAGCAGACCAGTATGTCTTTACAGTCTCAAACTGGGAAAACACTGTAGATAATACTAGGCCTAGACACAAAATAAATGTATACAGAATTACAGTAATCGAAACCTGATTTATAACTTACAATATAAAGTTGTGGGTTCAAATTTATAGTTCCATTCACTTGTAATGTAACCACCAGCCTTAGCCAACTTCTGAAAAAGTTGTATTAACATGACTCAAGACAGCAACGACAGTCAAAGCTACTTTAACACATTTCTAAATCATGCACACTAGCTGATGAAAATGTAAATCTGGTTCATTTGCTTAACTGTCTCACACTATACTACGTTTAACTCCATGTTTTATTACACTTTGCATTTTTTTCACTGAATAACACTAAAACCAAACCAACAGGGACTCCTAATAAGAATTTTTCAGTTCTACACTGAAGTCTCAAATACACTTGTTTTAGTAACTTTCCTGTAAACAGAGTTTAAATCATTTTATTATCCTTTCCCAGTTAAGATGATGACTTCTTTGGTAACCTGAAGCTCATTATATCTCAGAGACACAGGCTTTGCAATGAGAGATCAAAGCTTCCATAAGCCTTCACATAAGAGTGACTCAAATGGAGATGACTATCTGGAAAAATTTACTGGGTTAAATTAGTGTTTCTCACTAAAATTACTGTTTCATATAATAAAAAAATTATTTTCCTAACACAGTAATATTGCGCAAACACCGTGTTGCCTAGTCATAACCCATCTGCTGACAAAAATACTACTGTTGGAACTACTGTTGTCCATGTTTGCAGGGCTAAGTACAGTTAGTTGTTGTCCTCTAGGACCACTACTTGCAAAGTGAGCAACGTATAGACAGAAGGTGTATATTCTATTTTGATAAACAAATAAATAAACACAAAGACAGATAAAGATTAGCATTTTGATGCAAGTTTCTAGCCTCCTAGGTTAAGGGGAACTAAGTTTAAAAACCAGATTCCTAAAGGCACACGGCTCCTATGACAAGGGAAGCAAAGAAGGATAAGGCTCAACAGTCATAATACATTTATTTTGCCCTCAAACCAATCGGTTTGGTGAGATCCAGAATCTTAAAAAAAAAAAAAGGGGGGGGGGGGGAAACCAAACAACCAAAATCCACACCCCACACCTGTCTTCAACTAGAACTTTACAACCCTGTCTGAAAACCACTTGGAGATCATACAGAAAGCATCAGAATTGATTTTCAGAGACACATATCATCTTGGATCATGCTTTTAATGCAGTGTTTCTTTCAAAGTGCAAAGCTGACCAACAGTGAAATATGACTTCCCTTTTCTGTGGGTATTTAAATGTGTCACTTCTGAGAATAATACCACTTCTCCTATTCAGACACTCATTGATTCATACAAGATCCCCACAAGAATAATCTGACAATCTACCACCTCTTTTTTTTCGTTCATAGTCTCTTTTTCTTTTGTTATCCTATTGTAACTGAACAGTTATATATGTATCTGTAGTCCTCTCAAGTTACTCCTTCAGCCAAAAATAGCACAGAGAAGCACAAAGCCCCCAACAGGCATTTTTCG